ACATATATATATATATATATATATATATATATATATATAGTACAGTACACATAAATAATCCAGCTTGCTAGCGAAGTTATTGGTAGTGGTAGGCCCCATTTGCCCTAAAAATTACAGCGGTACAGTGGAAACATATACATCATGCCATGGGACCTACTTGTCGAGCTTTGACGATGCTCACGGAAGCATTTCCCAAGAACATATCCCATCAGCTCACCATTATATACTTGCTCGATCTTCTTCTCAGCATCTGTACTGCGCCCAACAGCAGACCGTAAATGGAGAGAACATATATGTGTTGCAAAAAAATAATGGGCCATAAGAAGAGAAGAGAAAGGTTAAGATGGTCAAAGAAAGCCAAGGCTTCTTCCATGACATTGACCGGGAAACATATTATTGCTAAGGTGATCAAACCCTCCAATTGATCGAAAAGAAAATGATGTTTAACTTAATTTTAGCGTATACATCGGAATATTGTTTTCCATATATATATATCTAAGAATATTCATTTAAAAGAGAACTCCCTATCTACTAGCCTTTAGAAAGTGGGAGCTTGAAAAGAGGAACAGCTCCTGTTGAGGATGAGGAATGAGAGGTGGGTCGACGTTCCCTTCCAAAGCTATAATTAGTGAGCCTAATATTCACATTGTCTGCTGATATATACTGTACAATATTACCTGCATTGCATATATGTTCCTTCCTATCCAATCCTAACCAGCACCAAGCCACACTACTTCACGTTGATTCCACATGGCTTCATGCTCCCGATGCCATGCATGCATGTCAGCAGCATCAGCCCCTCAATATCGGATTATGATGCAGTGGTCGATTTTGTTGAACATTTAATCTTCTATATATCGGTAGATTTGTGAACAATAATACTCTCAAATGAGAGCAAATCCTGCAGAGTCGAATACAATTATGTTCAGATGGGTTCCAATTAAAATGCATGCGACAACGGCTAAGTGATTGTAATGGTATTGTCGACTCAGGAATTGTTTCTCAGCTCTATCGATCGGAACGGAGGCTGACATAATGTTGATTCAACTCTCATAAGTAATTGCATGTTTTGATTGAAGTTCGTGTTAGTACTGACATCATGAAAATAATGAAGATCCAGATGGGATAATAATTGAGATTTCACGTTCTTTTACGAAGATATGTAGGGTGAGAATCATTTAAAGTTAAGAGAGAGAGAGAGAGAGAGAGAGAGAGAGAGAGAGAGAGAGAGAGAGAGAGAGAGAGAGAGAGGTATCTCTCACGCAGATTTATTTGCGATATCCTTAAGGACGATTCTATTCTTATCTTTCCAGTTTAATTTCTGTGACTCAATGGTTTGGTGAGTATACATGCATGGACCAAACAAAGAAGGACATCAGTTGATACACATGGTGCATGCAAGTATAAAAAGGTTATCCAGCACACGAGAACCCCTCACCGGCCGCGGCTCGCCTCGTCTCCCATTCTTTATTCTCTTCTCTTCATCTTTCATTGATCGGGTAACCTAATACTAGCTTCTTCCTCCTCCACCATTACTCAGCTGTTGCTATCTTATTTATGTGACGGAACTCTCTAGAGGAGGTCGATGCATATTTCCCATGAACTTATATATATATATATATATATATATATATATATATATATATATATATATATATATATATATATATATATATATATATATATAACCCATTTGATTGGATAGAGCTTTTTTCGGTCACACAAACGTACTTTCTTGCTGTCTTTCTATCATGCATGCAAGCTTCTTGTCCTGTTTGTGTTTCATTGCGCGCTTGTTTCTTAATCTTTCGGAAATATTATGATGAAATGGTAGGGGAGTTGAGACGATGAGCAGGTGGCCAGGAGACTGGAACTGCTGGTCATGCCACCACCACAACTTCAGCTGGCGAGACTCGTGCCAGCAATGTGGCAACCTGAGGTCGTCCAGTGGCGACCCCTCCTACGCCGCCCTCGGAGGTGTACGTGGAGGGTCCTCATTCGTCTTCAGCGTCTCGAATCACGTCCGGCCTGGAGACTGGTATTGCTCCTGCGGCGCTCATAACTTCGCCAGCCGATCCAGCTGCCACTCTTGTGGTACCTCCATGGACATTGACCACAAGGAAACGCCTGGCTCACGAGGTGTCGCCTACGGTGGCGGCGGCTGGAAGTCCGGGGACTGGTTATGCACCAGGTATCATCCTGTCTACCAGTGAAGAGACTCGCTGTTCTCCTTATATGTGCACTACGCATTATACAAGATCATACACTCTCTTAAAATTTGTGCTCGTCTCTTCGGCAGGTCGGGCTGCAATCAGCACAACTTCGCTAGCAGAAGGGAATGTTATCGATGCAAGACACCCAAGGGATGCGGTAAATGACCCCTCTCGATCACACTACTCCATCTTCTCATGTTAATCCAATATTTAATTACTCAATGGGTAAACGATTACTTAATTGTGTCTTCTAGGCATTTAAAGCCAATGGAAAAAGGCCGGAGAGAGGGGCGACATGACCGAATGAACAGAGTGGGATTAATGCTTCCCACCACCTATATAATGATTTTAGAGGATTAACGATGTTTCATGTACGAGTTCTGTGTTTCTGCACTTCTTCTCTATGGATGTGTGTGTGCGTTGTATGCCTATACTGTTTTTTTTCTTTTTCTTTCAAAGCTAAAAACAATATTACATTAAATATACGCAACAATAAACTAACGATTGGGGTGTTTTTAACACTTATTATCACGAAAAAATTGAATATGTTCATTATAGGGTTTTAATGCATTTATTAAGTCCAATGCTCCACCTATTACATGGAGAATGGAATACAATGTAAAATCCAAAGCTTGTAGTACTAACTTATGGGTCAATCATGATAGGATATGAGATGTAATTACAAAGTATGTCTGAGATAGTGAACTTGATGGCTATTTATACATATTAGCAGAGAAGATTTTTCTCAACTGCTCAGATATTTCCTCGTGCAATTAAGAAAATCTTATATGTTATCATTCCCCCGCAAGATTGAGCTTCTATCAAGGATGTTGATCTTGGATCGTTGCAGTGAAAATAATTTGTGGGCAAGACGTTTTATGAGTAAGTTTGCTAGTTGATCAACCGTATGCAAGTGAGAAATACGTAGTTGATGTTTGACAACTTGATCTCGCATGAAGTGGAAGTCGATGATAATATATTTCATGGGGGAGTAGAATACTGAATTAGCACATAAGTAGGTAGCTCCAACATTATCACAATATATTGTAAGAGTAACAGTGAAGTTAAAGTTGAGTTCCTTGAGTAGATTTGTGATCTAATTGAGTTCAGCAGCGACGGTAGCAATGGCACTTCAGCTTCAGTTGTAGACTATGCGACTGTCTTTTGTTTTTTAAAACTCCAATTGATTGGAATAACTTCAGGGGAAATAATATACCCTAACGTTCACAATTTCAGGAATTCCTTTCCGAAATTTATGAACCACAAAGCTTACGTTGTAATTCAATGCACAATCTGAATAATAATTTTCTCAAGAATATTCGTTTGGAAGAAGAAATATTGACAAAGGAAAAATCTCATTTTTCTCCATATATCTATTGGCTTTTTACAAAGTGGAGTGTGAAAAGAGACCCGACTCCAATTTATATCGTTTCTAAATGTAAAATAATCATTTCTTTCACTTATTAATTCTAACTCGAGCTTCGAAAGAATAATGATGTCACTCTCTAATCTCTAAAACACGTATTGTTAGCATATGATAATTCTAACTTAAGCATAGAACGACATCCATCCCCAAAACTCACACACAAACACACACACACAGACTTGATTCTAAGTTCTTGATGTCCATGCAAGTATAAAAGTAACCCCACGCGAACTTCAAAAGTGCCCCTCCCTTATCTTCTTTTCCTAGTGATGTTACTCTACATTTATATACTGTTTCAACCTAGTGATATATAGCTAGCTACATATAAATAATCCAGAATGGATACAGAAAGGGAGACAGCTGAAGGATCAAAAGTGGTAAACCTATACACCATGCCATGCAATCCATTTGTTGGCTACTTTAGTTTCACAGTTTGTATTCAAGAGAATGAGGATAAAAAATAGACTGGAAAGCCCCCCCAAGAATGATGCCATGAGAAAGAGAAGATAAGGCAAGATAAACACGTATAATAATGGGTCAAAGAAAGAGAGGGGACTGAACCTGGATAACTGATAAAAGATGGAGAAAGAAGGGCTTAGATCCAAGGAAAAGAAGGTCTAGACCATACTCTTAGGCTTCCTCCATCGTCTACCTTTACTCAAACTCAAATATTTTTCTTTGAAGAGTCCTATAACTGGTGCATGAAACGCAATTCACTGTCATATCGGTCCACTTCTATCAAGATTTCAATTACGCACACATTTATCTTAGATAAAAGTAATTGAAGAATCGCGGCAAAAAGTTGTAGATGCTACTATCTTCGATTTATCTATCATATGTATACTCGATTTTAGAGAAGCATCCAGTGCTCAGTTTTCGAACGACCGGATCAATTTGGTATATACTCATGTCCTAATGTACGTGTAGATTATTGCTTAGGTCGATAGTTACCTGTCTGTCTTCTTCATGTGTTTGACTGGGAAACATTGTTGCTAAAGCTCAAAAATGGCGACCTGATGATCTACACTTGATGGAAGAGAAAACGATGTCTTCGAGGTATGAATTATTAGGTGCATACATCAGAACATTGTTGCTTTCTTTAAACTTGGAGCTTAGTTCTCTATGGTGTCTAAGAATATTCACCTGAAGGAAGGAAATTTCGACATAGTAAAGGCCATTGTTTCCCCATCTAATTGCCTTTAGATAGTGGAGTACTTTGAAAAGAGGACCGACTCCTTTTGTAGGTGGGGGAATAAGGTGGAGGGTCGTTCCTTTACAGAGCTATAATAAGTGAGCAGAATATTCACGTTGCCTGCTGATTCTGTACATGTATGTGTTCCATGTTCCTTCTAACCCAATCCTAGGGCAACACGAAGGCACCAGTTCATGTCCATTCCACGTGGCTTCATGCTCTTGACGCCACGTAGACGTCACCCAACCAAGACGGGAACAAGATCATGTTCTCATGCGTTATCGTTGAAACCCTAATCTTCTTAGATTTGTCAGACAAATGTCAACAGGGAGCAGACAATCTGAAGCCGACTGACGAAGCTAAGCTTCCGAAAGTGAATCCATGGCCTTTTCAATTATTGTTAAAGGGGAAGCTAAATGCGATAATGACTCAAGGGATTGGAATGGGTATTGCCTGCCCCATGGGAATCGATTCTTGGCTACGAGTGGAGCCTGACATATATCTGCACAGGAAAGCTAAGTCATTTTAACGTGATTGCAGTATAAGTAGCAGTGTTACTCGGGGAAGGCACATTCGATCACCTAGAAAACAGCGTCGGTTTTTGTAGATGCTTAGAATGATCTCCGTTGCATAATTGTTACTAAGAAATTTTAATTTTAGCCATCGTTTATATGTGTGAAAAAGAGAGGCATAAAGAGACAGATAGAGAGAGAGAGAGAGAGAGAGAGAAAAGAGATTTGTGTGTGGGTAATAATTGAGATTTCATGTCCTTGTACAGAAGATTTGTAGGGTGAGAATCATGTAAAGTTGAGGGAGACTCGAACCACAGTTTATCCTTCTCGAGGCCGATTTTCTATTATTTTCCTTCGAGTTTTCTGCAACTCAATTGTTCGGTGAGTGCATGAAGCAAAAGGAGGGAAACTAAAAGGACATGATTCCCTCGACTCCGCACCCAATCTTGATTCTCAATTATTGAGGTCCAAGCATGTATAAAAGCCACGCCGATCCACCCAACGAACAACAGCAGCGGAGCCCCTCACCGAGTCGCCTCATCTCGTCTCCTATTCCTGATCCCCTACTCTTCACCTGTCTCACCTTTTATTGATCAGGTAACCTAATGCCGCCTTCTTCCTCTTCCACCGTACCTTCTCTTCTCTACCCTACCAACCTACGTACGTACTATAAGAAAAGCTTATTTATGTATGCCTTAAGATATATATACTATTTCTTGGATATATGTAGATATTTTTTTCTCGGGTCCTTCCTATAGATAAATGCGAGTTAATTTCTTTGTTCAGAAAAGTTTATGATCGACTCTAAACTTGGTTTTATGCTCATCCTCCATTACGCACTTAATCCCCACTAGTAACCTAGTTAATATGTATATACCAAGTAACAGTAGTTGCTACAAAAGTGGAAGTATTAGATTATGTTGGTAATTTCTGAGAACTAGATATCATGAAATGTTAGGAGGATGAGCAGACGGGCAGGAGACTGGAACTGCAGTTTATGCCAGCACCACAACTTCAGCAGGCGTGACTCCTGCCAGCAATGCGGTCACCCCAGGCTGTGCAGCGGCGACTTCTCCGACTACGCCGGCCTCGGAGGCGGTCGCGTAGGGTCCTCGTTCGGCGCCGTCTCGGACGTCCGGCCCGGAGACTGGTACTGCTCATGCGGCGGTCATAACTTTGCGAGCCGATCCAGCTGCCACTCGTGTGGCGCCTTCAGGGATGAATCCGCGGTCGGCGTCATCGGCGGATTCGACAACAGTGAAATGGCAGGCTCACAAGGTATCACCTACGGTGGCGGCGGCTGGAAGTCCGGGGACTGGTTGTGCACCAGGTATCCTTCCCTTCCATACTTTCTTGATCTCTCTTTCACGTCGACATGTTCGCTGTCTATCCATTACTATAATATTTTGTGCATGTTCGATTCTTTGGCATGCAGGTCGGGCTGCAATCATCACAACTTCGCCAGCAGAAGGGAATGTTATCGATGCAAGGCACCAAAGGGATGCGGTAATCGTTACTTTCCTCATAGTAATCAATCAACATTCTTCTCATACAGTAATCCCATGTTAAATTTATTGATGTACTGAGACATACCTTAATGCAATCTCTGGCTAGGAGCCTAAGCTTCAGGACAAGTCAAGAGAGACAGAGAGAGAGAGGCAAGATGACAAACCGAGAACAACGAGGACAACATGATACACCAGTTCTATCTCAAGTTATTACTTCAGTTTTCCTTTTCTTGTTCCTACAAGTTTAACCATGCATGTACAACTTGTGTTGCTGCATTGGTCTATATGCGTCGTGTCTTTATATGAAGAAGACATGGAAGGTACCCTTTTCTTGGTGATATGAAGAAGACATGTTATATTGTACCAAGCACATGCATGTTCTCCCCTGATGGCATCTATTCCTAGAATAATAGCGCAAAAGGTCCCAAGAATGAATTGGAAATATACATTGGCACAATTCACACACACACGCACACAAAAGGTTAGGCATTCCAGTGCACTTACAGAAATTAATGAAGGCAATAGTTGCAATCAGTGCATTTACAATTCATGCTCCGAACTGTTTGTAGTAATGTTGTGGATAAAAGGTTTAGAGAATACTAATTATGTGGTATTCTCTAAACTTAATGCGAACTTAAGACTAATAGATGTTTAATCTAAACATAAAGCTACTCAAAACCTGAGGAATGTTTTCATTCTCCCCCTTTAGAAA